TCTTAATTTGTATGAAAAAGGCAAAACATCAATCTTCATGGAATGGAGGGAGTACTAGATTTTTCCCCGCGCCCAAGTGCGGGATTAAATGATTGAATAAATTTATTAATCGATTCATCATATTTTTTTTTAGTATTTAAACGTGTATGACAAAGCATATGATTTATAATATCTATAAACGTACAAAAATGATATATGTTGTGCACAAGTGTAAGAAAATTGAATATTTTCTTATCAAACATATGTTAATGTTATTAGTTTTAATATTTTTATTTTGTAAATTCATCAAAATATATGCAAATATTATTTATTTTAATATATTTTTAATATAAAATTGATCTTTATTATTCGTGTAAATTATAGAACATAAGATAAATCAAATAAATTTTAGATTTATACGAATTTTTTGTCAGACATAACAAACGGAAAACAATATATGTTTTCCAGTAATGAAATGTATAAATATTTGTAAGTGTGATTAAATATATATAGTAGAGTACATATCATAATAAAAATATACGTACAATATACTAATCTAAATACATAAATAGACAATAGATAATTCTTATAAATATAATAATGAAAAGATTGTTAATATTTCAAAAAATATGTTACGGTAATTAAGTCTAAATAGACTATATAAGTGCTTTATAAACTTCTAGATTTAAAATTCTGATGACAAAACATATGACCTTTCAGTTTTTTTGTTTTGTTTTGAACATTTGTTTAATTAATTTAGTATAAGAGATATTGGATCAACGATTTATAGTAAACTATAAGTGCTTTATAAACTTCTAGATTTAAAATTCTGATAACAAAAACAATCACTATAATTTTACCACAATAGATTTGAAACGAATAACTTATTAGGTACGTTAATGAGTGGATTGACTTTTACATTTTATATATTAGTTTTTTATTTCTCCGGAAACTACTAGTTGAATTGAAAAATAAATTAATATCTGGATTTGAAGTTATTTTGAAAGACAATATGTTTAGCTATGGTTTTCCAAAAATAGTACAAAAAGTTTCGAAAGAGTTTCAAACTTTTCAGAAATGGTCCAAATTAGTTTAGGAACTATAATTCATAAAATTTTGTGAACCTTTGAAATTTTCTTTTGAGTTGCTTTTAGATTTGTTTTTTTGTTTGTTTAATATGGTATTTTGAAAAAACAAAACATAAAATATGATATCTTTGAAAATTTCTCAACATTCTCTATATTTATTCAATCGCATATGAAGATAAGGTGGTTGATCTGATTTATTGATTTCTTCTCATTTGCGTCGTATGACAGTCACAAGCCCGATAGAGTATTCATAGACGAAATAATTACGGAGGTTAAGAGATTGTTTGAACATATTAAAAAAAAGGCTGATCAGAGAGGACAACTTAAAACAATTCAGAACATACCATCTGAAGCAGTTCAAGTCATACGACAGCCTGAAGCAATTCAGAAAAGACAACCTGAAGCAGTTAAGATACAACAGCCCAACCTAAATGACCAGGGTTTCATGTTCAATGCAAGGAAACTCAAGATAAACAATTCACATAATGCCAGACATTGGACCTTCGTGTCTATATCCGAGTCACCCAAGTAAGTGTTTTTTCTTTATGAGTTATATATCTAAGGAAATTAGCAAATGCATCTTTTCGTGTCTATAGAAAAGTTCAATTATGTTTTTAGAATAAGTCAATCCAACATAAATAAAAGATAAATTTGATCCTTTCAACTACTTGTAAAGTGACATTTTCTKAAAAAAAAAAAAAAACTTGTAAGTTGTAACGTCACAGAAACATGTTTTTAACATTTTTATAGTTAACTATATCATATATAAAAGTGAATGCCCTCGCCAACAAAATATTTTCAAATATAGACAATGATATTAAAAATAGTGATTGTGTGTTTTTAATATATGCAACTCTATAGAAAATAATTTTGTTAAAAATTAGAATGTCTATATGAGAAACCAAAATGACTATTTTGATATATTTATCTATTTTATAATATAATGTTATTCATGGCATATCCTTTTATATTTAATATAATCAACTATTTTTACACATAGAAATATTTTTACTTATTCTACTAATAGTTGACATATTTTGATTCAGTAGTTTTTTCATAACAAAATTAATTAATATTTAAAGAGTGGTCAAAATTTGTCAAAATTCTGATGGATATATACATATTATGTTCAGTGAGGCGGCTATTGAAGTTGCAAAGATGGTCATTTGTTATGATCTAAAAGTGTGGGGAGAGTTCCACGCCAGAGAACTGACATTCGGGAAAAGGTACGAAGTGGTGTTCGTGGTGAAAATAGAGGACACAATGTCAAGATTTGACATTCTGGGAAAGACGCAACTGATGGTACCTGAAAAAGAGTTGCAAGAGCAAGAACTGCAATTTTTTGATCTCATAAAAAACCAGTGGATTGAGATACGGGCTGGAGTTTTCGATGCATGGCCGCATAAAGAGAAGATCGCTTTCTATTTATATCAGGATGGGTCTGAGCAAAAAATGACGGGACTTATGATTAAAAGTGCTATAATTCGTCCCGTAAAACCTGAAGTAGTTCAAAACAAACAGCCTAAAGCAATTCATATACCACAGCTGAACGTAAATCATCAGGGCTGCATGTTCAATGCAAGACAACTCAGGATAAATAATTCACATAATGCAAGATATTGGACCTATGTGTCTATATCCGAATCACCCAAGTAAGTGTTTTTTACGAGTTATATATAAGAAAATTAACAAATATAATATCTTTGGTGTGTTATGTTTTTAGCATAACCAATATGACAAAAATAAAATATACCAAAATAATCCTTTCAAGTTTCAACTACTTGTAACGTAACAGAAATACAGTTTTTTTTATAAATAGGTGACTATCCCGCGTACACGCATATCATTCATTTATAAAGTTTATTTTAAAAAATTATATTTTAAACATGTGAAAATATGCATTTTTTGATTTGTACTATAGATATTATTACTGATATTTTGTCATATTTTTTTTGTTAATAATATGAATTTTTAGAAGTTTAGCTTTACCAGTTTTATTATTCTAATTTTTTATTT